GTGAAGTGCGAGTAGAAGAAGAGAAGTGAACCAATTCAAGTTGAATTAATCAACAGAAAACGATATAGGGAGAAGGCAACATTCCGCTAGGAAATTACTATTCGCAGCTGATTCAAGTTTTTGACGAGAAAAACCGATGTACCGCAGCTTATAAATTCTATCAGAGAAATTCAATATTATAGCAACATCATGTCTACTCATGCGTGTAACATCAAGGCGTGTAATACACAAGCTTTTGCATGATTTTCTTACGTCAATACAAGTTATGGGCGATTGAAACTGAGACGAAGTCACTCCCGACGTAGTAGTGAAATATGTTGCAACACCTTTCTCGACCGTGCTATACACAACTATAGATTTCCGTATCATTTGCTCAAGCGTATTACAATCAAGAACTTTGCGGTAAGGATTCTCTCTTCCGATGGGAGGTATATTGATTTTTGATATTTTCGCTGATATAAATCTCAATAAATGACCTTTCCAAGTTTCGTTGTCGTTAGATAAAACTTTCCGACATATTGAACTCCATATATAAGGAGTGCCAATGGCATTATGGCATAAATAACTGTCGCGAGTATCCAAACGAAACTATGTTCAATCACACTATTAGATTTACTCGTTGCTATGAAAGTAAGGATGTTTTTTTGTGGAATAGATTGAAGAACTTTCTACGGCCACGGGAAGTTGTAACGTAACCTTCTTATATTATCACCATCGCCTCCAACGGTGATCGTGTGACACGATTCGGGCCTGTCTTGACTTACGCTCGTCTTCGCTTACGGTTCGTAGTAGGTTCAGGCCGCACAAGCTTGTGCGGAATCTCGTTCGTTCGTAGCGTTTCACGTTAAGTACGCTAGTTGATCGATGTTGGTTACCAACATTGCTCGCTATATGTAGATCGACTCCGTTCGGCCATCGCCAGCTACCTTGTTGTTGTCCGCCTGTGCGGCCCTGCCTGTGCGAAATAGACAGTATAAGGTGAACGCGAGAGCCTTATCCCTAGCTAACGTGTGCATGCGTCAAACGATCGATTGCATTCAGAGTCTTTCAAGGGGATCTTATGAGGATTACTGTTGCGCCCCTGCCAACCTGTCGACCGCAGCTAAGTATTACCTAACATCCGTATCTACCTTTGGGATTGTGTTGCCAGAGTCACTAGCATCAACTCCCTATAGTATCAATCGACGACCCGATCACGACTTCGAGTATATCCGTCCACAACATGAAGTGAGGAGCCGCACAAAACTGCCCACAACGCCTATCTACACTTTTTTGTGAAGCATGAATCATTCGGGAATCCACTTGGCACGCTTGAGTCTGGGAAATAACAACTGTCGTCAAAATAGGAAATCGCGAGTTCTGAAATTACTCCTCGATTGTATGTCGTCTCCTTACATAACCCTGCACGTCACGGCCGCACGAAGCTCAGTCCGCAGTGCGGACTCCGCACAGGCGCACAAATCTAAGGGCGCACAATCCTTCGAACACACCTTGTCATAACCCTGAGGACTTAGTTCAGTATAGTGTGGATTGTACGCCATTATTCGAAGATCGAGATTTCATTTTTTTCCTCACTCCAAAGTTATGAATAATACTCCTAGGGTCAGACGGGACTGCGAGGATGATTCCCAACAAATGAAGACCTTCAAGGCCACAACGATTCCCAACGTCATCCTCATTCTGATGACAATGATGAC